CGAGCCACCCCCCGGGGCACAGCACCTCCCGCAGCATCCCGGCATCCCACCCGAGCATCCCTCGGATTGCCCCAAGCACCTCGGAGCACCACCTGGAGGGTCCCCGGCATCTATCCCGAGTATCCCTCGGATCAGTCCGGGCATTCCGAGCATCTCTCGGCTCACCTCTGAGCATCCCTCGGACCAGTCCGGGGACCCCGAGCATCCCGGGCTCATCCCGAGCATTCCCGGCTCTCCAAGAGCATCCCCCGGCTCGCCCCTGAGCATCCCTCGGCTCACCCTGAGCATCCACCGACTGGCCCAGAGCATCCCGCGCCTCATCCCGTGCATCTCCCCGCTCTCCCCGAGCATCCCCGGCTCGTCCCAGCCCGCCCCTCCTGCTCCGGCCGTGTCTCCAGGGAAGATGCTCAACGTTATGGATTTCTCCTGCCCGGATCCGCTTTACTCCAAGTACGAGGAGAGCTGTGAGATGAAAAACGGAGACCTGCAGGGCTTGGGGCAGCCTGAGCAGCAACTTCTGGCAGAGGCTGATTTCCTTGGAGGTAAGGGCAGGGGGGAGACGGGCGGGGATGAGGAATCCCGCCGGGAGTGATCGCCGCAGCCAGGAATCGGGAATCTTCCCCTCCTCTGTCCCTAGCCCCGGGGTGTGGGTTCAACAGTCCCCTGCTAATGGTCGGTGGGGGTCCTTGGGGTCCTGCTGGGGAAGGGGGTTAATCCCAGAGCTCCCTGTGCGGTTTCAGGGACGGAGACCTCGCAGTGACGCAATATCAGCCTCCCGCTGTTCCCCGTGTCCCGCCCCCCCCATCCCTGCATCCCTCTAACCAGTCTCCTCTGCTCCCCAGGTGAGCTGGTGGGTGCCCCAGTGAGCGGTGGGGCCGTGGATTACTCCCTGCTGGGCAGCCAGCCCTCTCCTTCTCTCAGCTACACCGGCAGCTTCTTTATCAAGGCAGTCCCGGAGCATCCCCAGGCCCAGGAATCCCTCTTCAACCTGATGTCAGGGATCCTGGGCATCTCCCCCTTCTCCTCCTCCGAGGGCCACCAAAGGCACCTGGATGCTCTTTACCCCTGTCCCGAGGTGGGTCAGAGCCAGCTGGACCTCTACTCCACCTGCCAGCCCGAAATGAACGGATCCACCCCAGCGCCCTTCCCGGAGCAGGGCTATGGTGGCTTCCCCACTGCTGATGGGGCTCAACCCCTCCAGGCACAGCCCACCTTAGGAAACACTTCCCAGTGCTTCTTCCAGCCCAAGCTCCTGGACAACAAGCAGGACATCAAGCTGTCCTCTGGCTCCCCACCCCTGGACAAGTTTAAAGCCTCCTGTGCCCAGTGGGAGCCTGTCACCCAGCATCAGGCCTACTTGCCCACTGGCTACCATTCTCCTGATGCTTTCCCAGCTGGAGAGAGCACCCCGGGGCTGTTCCAC